TAACAGGTTTTTTCTCTGGCCCCAGCGATTTTTCTATCGTACGCTGGACGCAAAATAATCCAGCGAAAATCAACTTTAGGTTATCACAGCATAAGCCTACTGTGTTCCGAACTCGCGCCATGAATTGATGAGATGTTAAATGAATGAAAAGAATTAAAAAAAAATATCATCATGAACAATCATTCATCACTTGATGCCTTCCAAGCGGAACAATTAATCCAACATCCTCACCAAGTGATGGAGGAGTTGGTCAAGAAGATGGAATCCAACACATCTTCTAAAATTCATGAGAAAATGAGTCAATTATATTCCAATTATTTTTTGAATCATGACGAACAAGAAGCGACTTGGAAAATCATTCCGAGCTTGAATTCCATGTCTGCACCCAATACGGTAGTAAGGTACAGAGGAATAATTCAAGACATGAATAATTCAGAATTGTTTACAAGCTCGCATTTGTATCGAGAAAATTCATTTATAGCTAATGATGAAGACGATCAAATGAATGATCATCACTCAAATTTAATGGAAAGAATGTTATTTTATTGCATTCCAATTCCTGGTGAGGCTAAATGGTCTAGAAATACATTCTATGATGACAATGTTGTTACGAAGGAGGAGAATAATATTCTAAATGAAGAAGTAAAAGATGTGAAAAGAAAACGGAATGATGAAGACGAATATGAAATGCTTGAAACAGATGATGATCTGGTAGAATCAAGTGATTCAAAGAGAAGAAAAGAAACAACTTGTCACACAAATCATCACGATCATTCAACCACTCACAGTAAAACGATATCGAGAGAAGAAATGTTGGATTTTCCAATCAAAGGAGAAAAAGGGCTTGCATGTATGGTGAAATTATATGATGAAGAGCATGAGTTGAAAAATGCTGACATTGTCGATTTTGTTGGTATTGTGACCTATGAGGAAAATGTGATGCGAGATGAGGACGAAGAGGATAAGGACTTCTACGGTATTTTCACACCAGAAGCTACTCTTGTTCCTCGACTTCATGTTCTCTTCTACAAAAAGTATCAACATATTTCATATATTGTTCCTAATACTTTCCCGATTACAACAGCAAATCAAATCTCAACTGTTAGGGAAAGTTTGATTGATTACTTAAGCTTGTGCTTGAAAGAAGATAAACTGGCAGCAGAGTTGCTGTTATTGCATCTCATCAGCAGAGTGTAAGTAATGATGAGTTTTAGTCAAGGTATTAATCTTGATTAATTTATTCAAAATATTTAGCCGTGCTCACAACTACGATGTCACACTTGGCAAGTTTGTGTTAAACATTTTTCATTGTGACAATGAGACAGCTCATCACGTTTATTCGTGCATACGTGAATTGGTTCCAGCTTCCTATTTCTTTGAGCTTTCTAATGAAAATTTATACACTACTAAATTAATTCCTTACAAGGACTATAATTCAGATAAGCTGAAAACTGGTAGGTAACTTTATCATGGACTGATTTATTCTCATTTGCTAAAATATTTTGTGACGACGACAAAACTATTCATCAATAGGATTACTTCAACTAAGTTCAGGAACTCATTTAGTGATCAACGAAAATGCTTTACGTGAAGGAAATTTGGGAGAAAAAGCATTACACAATATTGGGGCACTCTCAAAATTAATTGCTTCCCAAAAGGTCGATTATGACTTTTCATATCATCCTCTCACAATGAATGTTGACATACCAGTTCTGATACTTTCTCAAGGAAAATCACTATTTCGTGACAGAGACGTGAATTGCGTGATCAAATTGTCTCCTCCAACATCAACACCCTCCAACTCAGAAATTGCTGCATCCACTACTTTAAATTCCAACGAAATGCTTCAAATGTTCAGGTCATTCATTTCTCAAATTACTCAGAAAATGAAGAGTGAAGTGGTGTTGAGCGAAGATTTCAAAACGAGCGTATCCGAAGCGTTTGTAAATGCGAAATCAAAAGACAACTCTATCAAAGAACACACTCTACATAATTGGCTAACCATGGCTGAACTTATTCATGCGAGCTATGGTAAATTTGGTCAAGAAATAGACCTTCCCACATGGAGACGAGTGATGGAAATAGATGAAGCCATTAAGAAAAGGGTTTAGTAAACCTCTTTTGGAAAACATTGGTGTTTATGTCGCCGTGTGACAAGTCAGGTCTAATAATAACCATATTCGTGATTGTTTCCATCTTCTTCGTTGTGACCTAATTTATATCTACATGGAGAACATAGTTGCAATGATTCAACCACGAATTCAATTTCATATTTTGGCAAGAATTGAGCTGGATGGAAGATAACATATTCATCATCGTGACGTAAAATCAAATGACTTGCCTCGTGTCCCTCTTTGTAAGGATCAAGATACAATGAATCAAATTGAGGCAACACATCTTGCGCCTTCATCTGTTCTCGAATGGCTTGTGATGCTTTTTCTACTCTTGAATGACCACACGTTCCTCGACAAAGGATCATCTTGCTTCCATGTGTGATGTATTCGAGAGTTTTTGAAGCATGATCACTCAACAACACTCCAGAGCAGTAAGGCGACAACTTGAACGAAGTATTTGCATCATTAACCAATTCTTCTTCATTGTTGCCAACAGAGGGTTGAATGGGCATGACAAATCCATGTGTGAAAATGGTCTTGTAATTTTCCTCAACTGAGCTTCCATGAAACATCCATGCCTCTTCTCTTCTCATTGATCATTTTACATCTTCTCAAATGATAACACGCATTCAAATAAGGATGTGAATATTCATACACTTTCACTGGTCTCACCACGTGTCTTGCATCTGAACTCATGACTGAAACTTGACTCAAAATTCGATTCAACTTGGTAGGATGTTTCAGCAATTTTCGAGAAGCTTCGATCTTTTGGAATGGACCCAACGAACCTCCTTCTTCTTCCCAATACGTTTTAAACAATTTCCAACAATTTTTGCGAACTTGTTGACTCACTTTGGATTCAAAGTGTTGCTTGAGGATGGATTTGGCAGATTCGACAAAATCTCGAGCAAATTGGACAGCTCCCTGTGTGGTGTAGGAAATGTAAGTCACGCCCAACATTTGCAGCTCATGTTGTTGTGTGTAAATGTTGTTGTGAGAAGCAGATCCTGAACTCTTAAATTGACTGCTGGTGTGTAAGGTGCCATTTTCAAATCCAATGAACACATGACCACCGTACAGCTTGCAGTAAAATGGGAAGTATCTCTCAAATATTCCAATAATTCATAGACCAGATTGCGTTCTAAACGGCTTTGGGAAGCATCTCGAAAATAATTTTTTCCAGATATGATGATTCGAGTGCGTTCTTGATTGCGATGAATGAATTGGATGGTCGATTGTAAATCCTGAAAGGCATGAACCTCATAGAGAGACTCGAGTGATGAATAGGAAATTTTGGAAAGATCATAGATGATGATCACACAAATAGGTTTTGACATATTTTTTTTGACTGTGATGAATCTGTCAGTTTTCAATGTCAGGAATGCTTCAATTCCTCTTCAAGATTTCTCACAGTCATTACAATACGAGTTGTCAAAAATGAAATCAAAACTCAAAGACTCAAACCTCCAACCACAATCCAATCAACGAGATCAAGCTCTTCTCCTTCTTCAATCCTCTCCTAGTGTTCTCATTTTGAAACAATTTCCAAACTCTCTTCTGAGTGATCGTTCTTTCATTCTTTCTGCCATCCAGCACTTCCAAGCACAAACGCTTCAATTTGCTTCTCCCGATCTTCAAAATGATCCACAAGTAGTATTGACAGCCGTTCAACGTGATGGTTCTGTTCTGGAATTTGCCTCCAAAGAATTGAAAGGAAATTTTCAAATCGTGATGGCAGCAGTGCAACAGTATGGAGAAGCTCTTGAATTTGCATCTCCTGATTTGAGAAATCATGAACAAGTTGTGTTGGAAGCAGTGAAACAAAATAAGAAGGCGTTGAGATTTGCTACCGAAGAGTGTCGTTCGAAAATATTGAAAAAACAAGAAAAACAACAAGCCATGATTCGAGAAGGTGAAGTTAGTGATGGTTCTTCTTTGAAGGGTGGTGTGAAAAAGTTGACAAGTCGTGACAAGGATATGACATGGCAGAAGTTGGTCGTTGATCAACCAAAGCAAGATTTTTCATGCCCCACAAAATCCATCCATGCATGAGATGTATTTGGATCAAAAAGAGGACTCCAAATGGAATCGCACCTTATCATTGATGTCTTCAAGTCTATTTCCAGATCAAGATTTTATGATTCATTCCAACACAACGACTCAGAATGTTCAATTACTGAACCATCCACAAGAATCGAAAAACAGAGATTTAAAACTCTCATCTCGAATGTTTCCCGATTCTTTCGTTGGAAATTCTCATTCTATGCCGAGTATTCAAACTACTTCTAAACCCACCACCACAATGGATCAACATTTACAAGGAACATCTATGCAAGATCACTATGTGAACTTTTTAAAAACAAAATATGATATCAAATCATTTATAGCGAAAGGAGCATTTGGATATGTCTATCATGTTGTGGAAAAAAAGAAGAATCAAGAGCGAGCTCTTAAAATATTGAAGACCAGTGATGAGGAAAGTATTAATGAGGCATTTAAGGAAGCGATGGTCATGACTTCGATTTCACATTCTCATATTGTTAAAGTTTATGATGCATTTCTTGTACTATCAGGTGTGAATACTAGTGTTGGTATTGAGATGGAATTGATGAAGGGAAGCTTGCAATCAGAATTTCTTAACAAGGAGGTGAGATTGTCTGAAACCACGTTGCGACAACTGACATTACAACTTTGTGATGCATTGACATTTATGATCGAAAAGGATATCATCTTACATCGGTAAGTTTACACTTCCTTTCTTGAAATTTTCAACATTTCTTGACATTTATAATCTTAAACAATTCAACCATTTAAAAAAGTGACATCAAACCAGGAAACATTCTTGTAAAACACTACTCCATTCCTCAAGAAATCATTCATGTCGCGCTGGCAGATTTTGGTGTATCCATCTCTCTCCAAAACCATTTATCAACCACTGGTTCTCTTGTTGGTACCAGTTTATTTCTAGCTCCTGAAATATTGGAATGTCAAAGGTTTTCCGCAGCGAGTGACATGTTTGCTCTCGGTGTGAGTTTGTATCAACTCATGACCTTGGATACAGTGACAGGTCTGGCACATGTAGTTCGTTCTGGAATGGATATGAAACAACTTGTGACCACTCAATTGCAAAAGCAGAAGGTTGATTCTCAATATTCGAATGACTGGATTGAATTGGTAGTGAGTATGTTGGTGTTGGATCCAAAACAACGAATTTCTTCAAGAGAGGTCAAGAAAAAGCTTCTTGAAAGTACGTTGTGAAAATAAATGTGAAAATATGACACGTCATACACCTTTCATTTAAGATTCAACAATCATGCACTGAGGTCGTTACTTTTATTTACACCTTCAGATGAATATACTGAACACAAATAAGTTTAAAAAGAAGAGTTGAGTGAATGCAAATTGGTTTGGAGAATGATCCAGACACATTTGACAGAACAAGAATCAAATGAATGCAGTCATGAGATGAACGAATCGAAAGAGTTGGACATCCATTCATGCAACGTCTCACGAACGAATCCGTTCGAACGGATTTGGACATGCCCGACTTGAAAATTTATAAATAGCCATTTCCAATTTGGAAAGTGAAAAGAAAACCATTTGGAAAGAATTCACACCCTAAAACAAAATTCGTGATGACGAGTCAAGCCAATCTTGAAGAACAACATGATGATGATGAACAACAACAACAACAACATCAGCAACTCCTCTCCTGCATTCCTTCACCATCATCTAGTGGACTATGGCATCCATTAACTACAATGAACAACTGCAACAACAACACTCCTCACACTCTCTCATCGAATGCTCGAACGACTGACGTCACATCAAGTTCTTCTGTCTCAGAACAACAACCACCACCATCCATTCCTATCACGACTCCCATCACTAATACCAATACTACTACTTGTCCTATCACAACTGCCCAAGAAGAACAACAATCGTCATCCTTTTCCTCTTCCTCCCCTATGGAAGAACAACAACAATCGTCATCCTTTTCCTCTTCCCCTTTGGAACCTCTTTATTCACATAAGAGTCATCAAACCACGGTGAGAATGTTCGGATCTTTCTGTTATTCCTCCTATGTGAGTCTCTTTCTCTCCTTATTCATTGTGAGTGCAAGTTTGGCTCAAAGTTTATGTGAAGCATTGATCTACAATGAGCCTCATTATAGAAATACTTTAGTTCCAATCCTTCCTCGAGTATTGATCTATATTCCTCTTGGATTGAGTCTCTTGTATTATTGGATCATGGTATTTCGGTGTTCCACATTCAAATACTTGAGGAATCATCAAAATGAAGAGAATACTTATGAATATATTGAAAGAATTCGACAAACGAAACCTCTGATTACGATGGAAATTGAATGTTATCATTATGAGACGATTACTGAAAAATACACAGATCATGCAGGAAATAAACAAACGAGAATCAGAGAGGAGAAAGATACGACGTATCGAGAAGAACGAAATTTTGATTTCATGTTTCATAGAGATGTTTCTCAACCTTTCATGTAAGTACGAGTTGTGCACAGCATGAGAATGTTATTGAATTATTTTCATATAACCACATGTGAACAAATGACACGTTCTTGTATTTCAAAATGATGATGAATGTCATGATTCTCGTATTGTTAAATATAATTTAGACTTGGTGGTACCAATAAGGAATACATCAAAGTGAAAATGAAAAATATTATTTTCATGGAAAATCAAGAAACCAAAACAGCTTTCGATCAGGCAAGAATGGATCTTCAGAATCGAGGAAGAGATTCAAACATGAATTACTACGAGAAATGGGAACTTCCAGGTTTCAAAAAGAAGTTATTGGCAAAGGTTTGTCATGAATCTGGACAGCAGCAGAATGAAACAACAAGTTTTTTCTTCTCATTGCCTTGTTATTTACTCATGTCCTTGTTCATGTTGAATTTCTTGTATCGATTTATTTTTGACCACAAGACAGACATTCAGGAATATGAAGTGGTGAAAGAGATTTCTGTTGTACCTTTTCCAGTTGCGATGGATACAGCAACCACCACCACCACCGCCACAGCCACTGCAACGAAATTTGATCCACAATTCTACACATACAATCAAGATCAGATGTTGGAATATGTTCCACCTCAAGTCATTCAATCTTGAGTGGACTGTTTACAAAACGAAAATTAATTAATTCACACTTTAATGCAAAAAAAGTACGTCGTCTTAAGAAAATGAGGAAGATTCTAGTTAAAAGATGGTCAAGATGAGATCTGAGCAAGATTTAACTTTTCAAAGTTTCCTTTTTTAGGTCAAATAAAACTCCATTATGAAAAAATTGGTTGAAAAAGAAATTACAGTCTTGAGTGACGTGATGGTGTTTCAGTATGACTGCTTTGACCAACAACACCCTCGTCCGATCGAACAGCATGAATTTTTCTAAATTGTTCAATTTCTCCAACAAATTCCATTAATTTAGGATCTTGAGTGTTTGGTGGCAGCATTAAGGAAATTAATTCTTTGTTGTGATCAGAATCAGAATTCACTTGATCACCTTTTCGTTTGTTGACTTCCTTGTTGTGGCGAGAACCATTGTTTGAAGCAGGAATTGTGACGACTGATGTGTTCTGCAAGACATTACACTTGTTGAACATTGAAATGGCATTTCGAATGGTTTCCATGGAACATGCTTCAAAAAATTGAATCTTTTTGTCGTTGAAATAAAACTTTTCGATCCACCATTGAATTCTTTCATGCGTGCTGACTTGTTTTTTGGTCACTGAAGTGGATGGCATGCCATATAATAAAGACATACCCACGGCCCAATATCCTTCGATTATAGGCCACAATAACGAACAAATTAATTTCAAACTTTCTAAATAAGGTAAAGATGGTGCAACTATTGTGGCGGACGCTTTTTTCGGAAGAGAAGAATTGTTGTCATCGTCGTTACCAGAGTCAGTTGTTCTCAATGAAATTAATTGCCTCTTTTCCATTGCTTGCAGCGTTTCCAAATATCTTTCAGGTTCTTCAGGATTTTCCTTATAAATAAATTCCAAAGAGAGCAATTTAGTTAAAAATTCACATTTGGAAATTAATTCCTCCAATTTCACACCCTTCTCAATTACATGCTGTTCTCCAAAAGACATCAACGCACATCCAATCACACTCTCCTTAAAAAACAAGTGTGTCAATTGATTTCTATAAAAACTCAAATCCATTATTTTCTGTTCATTCGATTTCACTTCCAAAAATGAATGCAAATTCCAATTCTTTTCTTTCGAAATACTTTCCACTTTCAATAATTTGAGAGAATTTGTAATGACTGAAAAAGAATCCTTTTTGGAGCTTGGTGAATGTGGTGAAATCCAATGAACTCTTCCACTTCTTGACAAAATTTGATTTTTCAACCATTCACTTTTTGATTTCAATTCATCCAAACTGATTCCATCTCGATAACTCAATAAAACAGTTCCAACAATGGCAGTTGGCATGATCACAGCTGATTCATTCAATGCAAAAGCAATCTTGGATCCCAATCGTTTGATTAAAAATTCCTTGTCATTTTCATTGTAAAATGGATCAAAAGAAGATGATGAAAGATTGCAATTTTGAATATTTTCAACCTTTTCAATGTTTTCACTTTTTCCAATTGTTGTGGATGAATGAGATGATGATGAAATTGTTGTTGATGAATGAGATGATGATGATGAGAATGTGGAACTTGTTTCAAGACGAGAATGATCATTTTTCAATTCTTGAATATAATCTTTCAATGAAATTGGTTCTGCAATTTTGACATTCACATCACCATACTTGTTGAATAAAACAGAACTTGCTTTCACCAAATTTGTCAATGATTCACCCTTCTTATTTCCACCCAATAATTCACGTGAATGTGATTCACTTTCAATCACTCTTTCATATCCAATATGAATTGGAACCAATGTTAAATTTTCAACACGATTTTCCAAATATGCATCTGCAATTGTTTTCAATAATCCAAGTTTTGGTCTCAATGTTTTTCCTGCTCTTGATCTTGTTCCTTCCACAAAGAATTCAATTGGATTTCCATCCATCAACAATCGATGCACATATTCAGAGAAAATTGATTTGTACAAATTGTCATTTCCAAAAGATCTTCTCATGAAGAAGGCACCTGAGTATCTAAACAAATCACGAACAAGAAACATGTTCAGAAAATCTTCACCGGCTGCAATGTGAGGCACTGGTAAACCATATAAATAGAAGAGGTAGGATAAGATGATGAAATCAATATAGGAACGATGGGTAGGGAGAAATACTAAAGTACCCGCGGAGGATTTTTCGGATAATTGTTTCAATTTTTCCATTTCGGAAGAATCGACCAGAATGGCTTGGTAAATTCTTCGCCAAATTTTTCTTAACATGTAACTGAAAAGTCGAATGGCATGAATACTTGGTTGAGCAAACATTTTGTCCATGATGTCCAAAGCTCTCTTCTCCACCTGTGAAATTGGAACTTGACGAGAATTTGCCTCTCTTGACAATTCCAATTGCACTCGACTCGAATACAATACCATTCGTTTCATTTCCTCAAGAGTGAATCGCTGTACCATTCCATCCTTAAAATATCCACCTGCCTGTGAAAATATTAATTCTAAATCATTGTAGAAATTGAAATTAAATTCATGAGCTTGGACCATATTGGTCATGGTGGCACTTGTGGCACTCGAATTTCTTGAAATTGCTTGTTGGTGTATATTTTCCTTTCTCTCTTGATCGTCTAATTCTTCTTTGAGAATATATTTTTGTAATCCATAACAAAATTGTTGAAAATAAGTCTCCCAATTAATTTCAGTCATGTCCAATGTGAAAATCTTCTTCTCTTCTTGCGAAAGTCGATGAAAAGCATTCAACAGATTGGTACTATCATAAAAGAATTCATTCATGGTGAAATGATAAAACGTATTCGAAAGCATCACTTGTCGTTCGGCCATCTTTTTCACACCATCGACCATCTTTTTTGCAAATTTCATGCCAAAGAGAGTAGACAAGAGTCCATACAGTTGAATCATCCAAGTGTAGCGTAGATAGAATTGAGAATGATAAATGAAATCATTTGGGATCATGTAAAAGTCTGCTCTGCCAATGGCCTTCTTTGGTTGATGAGAATGCCAATAACCTATTTTGGTGGTCAACGGATATGGACATTGTTCATGATTATTCATAATGATTCATTATTAAATTTAAATTAATTATTATATAATGATTAAATTTTAAATTTTTGAACATTAGGAGTTAGAAAAAAGATCACTCGACCAATCATTCAATTATACTTACGTAACACTCCATCGACGGTGTGTTGCCACTTTCCTGGATTTGTGGTTGAAGTTCCAATATGATAAATTTTAAACTTGCTCTTACTTGTGACCACATCTGCCGGACAGACAATCATTCCATTCGCCACAAAATCAACAGGTACTTGATCAGACACAATACTCGGATTTCCTGGAATGAGAGAAATAACACCTAACCCTACAAAGAAATAAACAGCTCCTCCTCCAGACACCACATCGACCCATCCTGGAAATGGTTCTTTCAAAGCAGCTCCAACAATAGAAGGTCTAATCACTGCAACAGGTACATGTCCCTTATATTTGGCAATCATGGCTTCTGCCATACGTTTTGTGACACAGTACGTATTCGGATAATTGCAAAACTTCATGACTTGTTTTTGTAAAGTTTCAATTTCTTGAGGTTCCATTTGACACACTCGTTCACAAAAACTTTCCACATCTTCATTTCCAGGAAGTTTGAAAGGATAGAATTTCTCATCTACTCTCGATCCAGATTTTAAATTATTGTTTGTATAAGCTGTGGAAATGTATGCAAAACATTCCATTTTTGTACATTGTTTCGCAAAATTAAGACATCTTAAGGCACCATAAGTATTCAACTTGATGGCATGATCCAATCGTTCAGTGAATCCAATCGTCGCTGCACTATGAATCATTATTTGCACTTGGTTTTTCACCTTCTCAATTTTTTCAGAATTTTCGCTAAACAACCCATCCAAAGTGACATCTCCACCAATGGCTTCGACTTTTGACAGGGCATATGCTTCAAATAATTCTCTCTTTCCATGAAATTGTTCCTCAATCATTCGATCCATAATGGGTGATTTTATAATTTCTGAAATTAATCGATCGTGAGGACTTGTGGTGCTCTTCTTCTTCTTGTCTTTCTTTTCTCGAATCAAGACATAAATTTTCTTGATGGTCGGAACACTTCGGAGGAATTTCTCAATCATGGCTTTTCCTAAGAAACCAGTACAGCCCGTACATAGAAGAGTTTTATCAGAGTAAAAGTCAACGAGATTCAATATAGAGGAGGAAGATGAAGAAGAAGAGGATGATGATGAAAGGTCGAAAGTGTAATCATGGTCGTGGTCTTGTGTGGGAATGGTTTGATGGAGAGATTGTGTGAAAATAGTGGAGAATGAAGAAGAAGGAAATTGGATCTTGTGAAAGGACATTCTGATGATGGTGTAATTTGGATGGAAATTTGAAAGGTGGTTTTCACACGTCGGCTTGAAGGGGTGTGATGTAAAAACTGACACACACTCTTTTTTGATGTGGCCACTGACGTCAACAACTCTGACGGCGCTTTGTGTCCGGACAGAAAGACGGGTTGTTTTTTTTAATGCATCGATTCTTGATTCAATCATTGACATCACAACATTTTAACGGAGGTTGTCATTGGTGATGCCACTGTCATCTTGATGAAAATGGCAAGAATTGCGTTTGTATCCAATTGGCCAAACTTTGACAAAAAAGTGTGTTATATCGAAGATGGACATGTTGGTTGAAAAGGTCCATTCATTCAAAACAATTCAAGTCAGAACGTGCCAAACTTGTAGTGAAACCCCTCACGTTCTCTTATTGAAAAATAATTGCTCATTCTTGGCAATTTATTAACACACAAGAAAATGCCGTTCTACCCGTCAATCTCAGATGATTTTGTGCACAAATGACTATCACTATTGCGAGTTGGAAGAAAAAACAGGATGTGTCGTAGTGATCGTTGGTTCTTCCTGATTTTGACTAGGAATTAATGTCACCTCAATAGGTCTTGTATCATGAATGGCTTGATACATGGGTGATTCTTCTGAAAGTAAGGAAGCTCCTAGTTTTCGTTTCCCATATTCGTCTAATACATTGTGAGCGACATAAACGGCATCCCTGTCGTAGGTTTCGTAATCTTGTGGTCGTCTTGTCTTTGTGAACCGAGTGAATCGAGAGGATTTTCCTCCTCCTCCTTCGTGTTTTGCGAGGGCTCCACTGTTTTGTTCGGCAACACTTTTTCGGAATGCAATTTTGGTTTCAGGATCCAATTCTTCAATACGGTGAATTTTACCATCTCTCATGTAGACCACTCGATCGGCAGCATTTTTAAGGTTAGGATCGTGAGTGACCATGACCATGGTAATTCCGTCTTCTTGGTTGAGTTTGATGAGAAGATCCATGACATTAAGGGTATTCTTAGTGTCCAAGTCACCACTGAAAAAAGTGGAAATGCAATATTAATACAATAATTTTTCAATTCAATTTCCAATATTGATCCAGCAAAGTATCATTACATTCAATAATAATTATACATATATATACATATATATACATATATATATATATTATATTTATATTATAAAATATTTTCAATGGATATATTTTATAATGGTCGTAAAAATTCAAATGAAAAAGTATGAAAATTATAAACAAATATTGTTAACAAAAAAGCCAAAACACATTCAATACATACGTTGGTTCATCCAAGAGTAAAATTTCGGGATGGTTCGAAATGGCTCTCGCAATTGTGACACGTTGCTGTTCTCCTCCTGAAAGCTGGTTAGGTGTGTGATCGAAACGGTGACCCATTCCGACTTTTTCTAACAATTTCTTTGCTCGTTCTCTTCGTGCAGCTTTGCTCATATTTCCTTGTAAAATCATTGGCATTTCGACATTCTCCAGAGCTGTCATGGTGGAAAGTAAGTTGAAAGTTTGAAATACAAAGCCCATCCGAGCTAATCGAATATTTGCAAGGGTTTCATCTTTGGTATTGGATGTCACACGCTCTCCACAGATTGTTAAATGTCCTTTTGTTGGTTTATCAATGGTACCAATAATATTTAACATGGATGTTTTACCTGTTGTGTTATCATTGCATTTAAATGGTGAGTGGGAATTAGAGAATTGAACCAAATGACGCAAAAATACATAAATTCAATATTTCAAATTATGTTGACAATAACCTGCAGACACTTACCACCACCAGATGTACCATAAATGACTAGAAATTCTCCTCTTTTGATCTTTAAATTGACTCCTCTCAAAGCAGGAACACCTTCTATACCAAGTAAATAGGTTTTTTGAATATTGTCAAGTTCAATAATATAGTCATTGTTATCAATTTCTCCAACTTGTTTAAAAAGACTACAATATTATTGTTGTAAATGAATAAGAAGATGGTCAATAATTAATTGGCATGTCAACAATATCATGATATAAATTTTCATCATTCATTACAACATTAAATGAACCACAAACACCTACTTTTCAAATCCTCGATTAAAATCCTTCTCCTCCTTCTTGTCCTTCTTCTTGAACATGATGATGAAAGTAATTTCTATATATACACAATCGATTCCGCCGTAATTTTTCCAAATAAATAGATACAAATGAACACCTCAATATCCGATGATGTTTTTCTCACTACTCCGAGAGCACGAACAGTATATAATTACAAGAGCACTTGACTCCTCACGTGGTTTGATAACAACACAACAACTCTCACAAAAAAGTGTCGGGTGGTCTTATGATGTTCGACGTATTTTTTTTTAATCTGTCCGCATTCAACTCCGCATCCAAATTAATTCCTTTAATAATGTGGAACACATTTTGAATTTCAAAGAGTTCGCAAATCCAAATAGGACGATAGTGATATCAATAATTATTACATAATAAATAATAATTGAACATTATTCAAAGTGTTTATAACGCTTATGATTGGTTCGGTCTGTATTGGAAGGAAGGTGGTGAGGGTTGTCACGGTCATACGATCGGTCCGTAGGTTGATAACTTCGTTTGTGATGTTGGTGATCCATGTTAGAACCATGATACCGAGAGGAGCCATTTCCTCCATCAAATACATTCTCAGTGTGATAGTGACTACGGTATCGATCCTCTCGGTAACTATCATGTGAATCATGACCGCGATGGTGATCCTCTTCTGCATATCTATTGTACCTTCGATGATAATGATGATGACGCTTGTGATGTTGTGGAGAACGGTGTGAAAATAAAAAGCTTGGCATTTGGTCGAGAGAGGCAGCAGGTGGATGAATTTTGAAATATCGATGATTAAGAGCTTGTTTAACTGTGAGTCGTTTTCGTGGATTCAATTTTAGAAGACCCTCAATGAGGTCAATGGCTGCCTCATCCACTCCTGCATATTCGAACAAGTTCATGAAATTATCGTGGGCGTTGGCTTTTTCGTACTTTTTTAACAGAGATCCACTCGCAAAGTATTGCTTGTAATAGGGAAGATGACTTAACATTTCCTTATCTTCGGAGGAGACACCAAGCAACTTGAGAATCATTTCTATGGCTTGAATTTCATTGTCAGCATTGAAAAGAGGTCTCATTAAAAGTAGCTCTGCAAAGATGCACCCCACACTCCACATGTCAATAGACCTGTCATAGTCTCTAGAGCCAAGCAAAAGCTCTAAAGGTCGATACCAGAGTGTCACCAGATTTGGCGTCTTTTTTAAATAAAAGTCGATAATGGGATCGAGTTTTGAAGAAGAGCTGTCACAACTCGAAGAAGTACGTGCTTGATTTTTCATATCGTAAGGTTCCTTATTAATGTTTGCTAAAAAATTGGTGTCATATCTTGCCAATCCAAAATCTATCAATTTCACTCGCCCTCGATCATATAGAATATTCGATGGCTTCATGTCCCTGCATGTTTTCATGATATGAATCACACGAAAACAGGCTTTTTCAAAAAGATATTGGTCCTTACTCACCTGTGAATAATTAAATTTTCATGTAAATAATTCAATCCTTCCAAAATTTGAAGCATGATAGATTTAATTTCTGATTCTCGTAATGTAAAATCCTTGGACTTGTGAATGAGGGTGGTCAAATCATTTTCTATATAATCCAATACAATAAATATAGAGTCTAATTTTGGTCCAACCACAACCTCCCGTAAAGATAACACATTTTCATGCACAAGTTCATTACAAAATTTTTGTAAATATGCAATCTCTCGAATATATGCCAAAGATAAACCCTCTTCATGAGTAGAGGCAAGATCAATATTTAGACGTTTCAATGCAACAATTTCATTTGTTTTTCGATCACGAGCCTTATAAACTCCTTCATAAATTTTATCAATTTTTTCAAATTCATCGACACTTCGGCATGAACCGTAAAATGGTTTATCCAATAACGCTTTTTGTTCTTTCCAATTAAAGATTTTTTCAGAATTCGTTGATGATGAAGATGGTGGTGATGATAAATTATTATTTTGCATTTTAGAATTATAAAAAGAATTCCTACTGTGGTGAATGATGCTAGAGGGATCATGTTGTTGTGTAACGGCTCGGAATGGTATTGCTGTTGATGAAAATGATGATGATGATTGATTACCAATAATCTTTGAATTACTGTAAGTGCTACTCTTTGTTGTGTGTGTGTCAGATAAATAATCATGAGAAGGGCTGTTTACAGCTCGGGCCAAATCAGCCATTGTCTTTTTTGTCGTGTGTGGTGTGGATGACGGAGACATTTTTTGTAAGGCTTTGTCCCATTCATTCACAAACAGTTTGGAACATTTCCTCCACAATTCAAACTTGGATCAACACGAGAAGAATTGAAGCTAAAGACATTATTCAATGTTGATCCATCTACAATCTGCAAATCCAAGTCCTGAACACACTACGATAATATGTTAGGAAATGTCCATTGTTAACATAAACAAGTCTTTGCAATGAGAACAATGTTTGATTCGGCTCCAAATCTTGGAATATTTCTGTTTTGACACTTTACAAATAATGCAAATCCAAACCATTTTAATTTTTCACTTGCCAAATATCTCATCACATTCGGAACATTTCGTGAAGGAAAACCAGCACTCACCGCTAGTATCGATTAGCAACCACACATATCATATTGAATATTCATCAAAATTACAATACGGACCATCAGCAGCCGAGGATGACGATGATGATGATGATGATTTATTCGAGAGAACTATTTTCCCATTGTCCGAATTCGGACAGCTGGTGTGCGAGCCTTAAAAAAAATTGAATCCAACAAGAGAACACGCACGTGTGATTCTGTTCATCATCATCATTGCCTCATTCTCGTTCGTGTTGTTGTTTTCTGTTAGGCCGAACCAAAAACAAACCCACCAACAACTTGGTTCATTGTTTTAGTGTGAGTTGTTTGTTTCAAGTTTGTGCTCGGAAGATTTTTTCTCTAAAGAGCTCTCCTTCTCGGAAGAAAAGCCTTTTGGCCACATCAAGACGCCAATATTTGTGAATCATCCTCTTCTTCATTGTGAGAGCACGCCTCTAAGATTCCTATTCACATCTAGTCTAGCACTACAGAATCTGTATTCATATTCTGGAATAATTCATTATTCATTTATTACTGAAATAATATATTCACCAACATCATCATTAGTTTTTCTTCATCGATAGCATTATCGTCCCTCTCAACATCATCATCATGAACGCCAAAATGAATGCTCTGAAATCACGTTTATTTCCCTATGTGGTGTCATCAGCTGGGATTCACAATAATTACGACCACACGAGTTATCCCGATTTGGCTACCTCTGACTCAACGACATCACCGTTGGATGTGAGAAAATTCTATGAAGGAAAGACATTGTTTTGCACTGGTTGTACAGGATTCCTCGGGAAGGTTGTGGTTGAAAAGTTTTTGAGAGATATTCCGAATGTGAAAAAGCTCTACTTGTTGGTCAGAGAAAAGAAGGAAAAGAATGGCAAAGTGATACCAGCCAATGTGAGATTGATGAAGGAAATATTGAGGTCTCCCATTATGGACAGAATTATTGCTGAGAAATTCGGAGGAAATCGTGAAAATTTTGAAAAATTTGCACTGACCAAGATTGAAGGAGTTTTCGGAGATGTCACTGAGGAGAATATTTTCAGTGGAACACCAAATGAAATGGTCGAACAATTGAAAGAGGAAGTTGAGATTATTATTCACAGTGCGGCTACTATTGGTTTTACAGAAAGACTCGATTTTGCGATTAATTTGAATTCATTCGGAACATTGAGATGTTTAAATTTTGCCAAGCAATGTAAAAACATGCTCTGCTTTGCATACATTTCAACAGCATATACCAACTCCAATCTTAAGTCAGGTTCCAGAGTTGACGAGAAATTCTATCCTTTCAGACTTCCTGGCAACGAAGAAATTGAGGTATTTTGTGAACGATTGAGAAAGATGGAAGCAAAAGAAATTGAAAAAACCACCAACAAGCTGTTGGCATTTACGAAATATCCAAACACCTATACAGTCACCAAGAGAATGGCGGAAGCATTGTTGTGCAAATATAAGGGAGATGTCCCCGTTGCAATCATTAGACCAACCATTGTAGGAGCTGCTTTGAAGGAACCAGTACCAGCCTGGATTGATGCTGTTTCAGGAAGTGGAGCCGTGTCACTATTCGTTGGGTTGGGAGTGATTTCTCTTTTGCCTGGTGACCCCAATAATGTTTCAGATCAAGTTCCAGTCGATCATGTTGCCAATGCAATGATTGTTTGTCCTGCCGATGTCGCAACAACGAAAACCAAGCTAAAGGTGTATCATGTTGGTACCTCAACTTCAAATCCAACGAAATGGGCAGACACAGTGAGTGGAGTTGTTAGTAAGTTTTGAGTTCTTTCTGCTGACGTTTAATCACTCTATTACTATATTATATAATAATTAATTATTAACATTCATGCGTCTTATGCAACATGTATTCGATTTAATGATAAAATAATACCTTAGAATACTGGCATACGCATCAACCTGAAAAGAGTATTGCAAGAGCTGAGTACAACATGATTCCCAGCCCATTGATGTATCACACACAGTTCATGGTTAGATACACCTGGATGATCAATCTTTATACAGTCCTTGGTGCCTTATTGAGGAAAAAGTCTGTTTTTAAGGTTGTGGAGGGACTCAAAAAGATGGCTGAGCGTCAGGAAATGTTGACCTCAAGTTTCCGCCATTTCACAATGAATGAATGGTTCTTCGAAATTGACAATTTAGAAAATGCTTACAATAGACTTAGAGGAGAAGAACGAGATATTTTCACTCTAGATTTGAGCGTCATCAACTGGGGAACGTATTATCATTACTTTTGTTATGGTCTACACAAATATATTCTCAAAGAAAACCCAATTCCTCCAACCACAACAGACTTGATCAAGTCTAATGAATACAATTTCAATTTCTTCAATGATATTGAGCTTGCATTCTCCGCTGGTGGACAATTCAAAGAAGGATTTACACGCGAGCAAGTGAAACAAATGGTATTACACTCTAAGGGCGTACAGTTGGAGATTAAGAAGGAAGCTGAATCAAAGAAGTTGTCCATTTCTCAAGTAGAAAAGAGAGCTTTGGATATTATGGATAAAATGTTTGCCAATCCTAATAATAACGCAATTAGAGCATTTGGTTGGATTCTAAGAAAAATTTGGAGAAGAATGTATCAATCCATCATTGTGGACTCGAATGAGCTTGAAAAGTTGAAGGAATTAGCAAAGAAGTCTTCAACTGGAACTCTTGTATTCATTCCAACTCATAGATCCTATATTGACTTTTTGATTGTATCCTATGTGTTCTTTGTGTACGGAGCTCCTGTGCCTCACATTGCAGCCGGTGAAGATTTTCTGAACATGTTTCTTGTTCGTGATTTGTTTAGATACTCAGGTGCCTTCTTCATGAGAAGATCTTTTGGAAATGACAATTTGTACAAATCAATTTTCTCTGAATATGTGCATCGATTGTTGATGGATGGAAATCCAATTGAATTCTTTGTGGAAGGAACAAGATCAAGAGCAGGAAAAACATTGAGACCAAAACTTGGATTATTGAAAACAATTGCAGATGCATATTTGGAAAATCGTGTTGAAAATTTAACATTGGTTCCAATTCATATTGGATATGAAAGAGTGATTGAAAGTGAATCACATTCACGTGAATTATTGGGTGGAAATAAGAAGGGTGAATCATTGACAAATTTGGTGAAAGCAAGTTCTGTTTTATTCAACAAGTATGGTGATGTGAATGTCAAAATTGCAGAACCAATTTCATTGAAAGATTATATTCAAGAATTGAAAAATGATCATTCTCGTCTTGAAACAAGTTCCACATTCTCATCATCATCATCTCATTCATCAACAACAATTTCATCATCATCTCATTCATCCACAACAATTGGAAAAAGTGAAAACATTGAAAAGGTTGAAAATATTCAAAATTGCAATCTTTCATCATCTTCTTTTGATCCATTTTACAATGAAAATGACAAGGAATTTTTAATCAAACGATTGGGATCCAAGATTGCTTTTGCATTGAATGAATCAGCTGTGATCATGCCAACTGCCATTGTTGGAACTGTTTTATTGAGTTATCGAGATGGAATCAGTTTGGATGAATTGAAATCAAAAAGTGAATGGTTGAAAAATCAAATTTTGTCAAGAAGTGGAAGAGTTCATTGGAATGAACAACAAAGCACAACTTCTGTTGTGACTAAGGCCTTAAATTTGATTGGTCATCTTATTTCAAAACGTAAGAACATGATAGAGCCAGCTATTGAGGTGAAATCTGACAACAAGAAGATTTTAGAATTGAGCTATTATAGAAATCAACTCGTTCATTTATTCTTCAAAGAAGGGGTGATCGGGTGTGCATTATTCTCATTTGGACAGAAGCAAATGCTTGACTCTGGTATTTCCCTCACTGACTTGTTCAAGAAGTGCGACTTTTTAACAGATTTACTTTCTCTTGAATTCATGTACAAGGAAAATCCTGAAGAACCTGAAAAATACATGGAAACCCTAGAGTCAATGGCCAAAAGAGGAATCATTTCTCTGAGAGACAACAGCCACGTATTGGTCTCTGCCGTGTATTTGGAAAATTTGAAATTTATTTGTTCCTTATTGTGGCCCGTAATTGAAGGATATTGGGGAACAAGCATGTCACTCCTCTCAATGCCACTCTCAGGATCAGATCATGACGACAACATTGCTACAGTGAACAAACAAGCGTTGCATGAAAGAATTCAATGGTTGATCGAAAAGTTTTATTTCGATGACAAGGTACAATTTTATGAAGCATGTTCTATGGAAACAATTCGAAATGCCATTTCAATTTTCAACAAGTGGAATGTCTTGCAGACATCAGTTGTCACAATTCCAAACAATGACTCTTCCCGCAAAAAAGGATCCAAAAAAGCTGCTGACCAAGTCAAGACCGAAGAAGTTGTTTCACTATTGCCACCATACACTGAGATTCCTAAATTGTTGGAGTTTGTTGGAGAAATTCAACAATTCAGAAAGATGGCTGTCAAGTCAGACAAGGCAGTCTTGACTGAAATTCCTCTTCGTCACTCGAGACTTTAATTGAATCCTTTGAATTACATTAAATTATTCAATCCTTAGTTCTAATGATTCCTGATATTACTATTCCTCGTCATGCGAGTACTTGACAAGTTTGTCAAGCGCTTCCCAAGCAGAAGACAACAAATACCAAAGAATAATTTGTTCTACTGTTGTATCTTCTGCTTTTTCAAATTCTCGCTTGTTCAAATGAATCAATTTTTGAGATGTCAAGCAAATTCAGGTGTTTTAAATTCTTTCTTACACAAGCACAAGGCTGCAATCAAAAACATGCACACACAATATATTCCAAAGAGTAGACATGAGCCCACAAATGCATACGTTAGTGAGATGAATAGCACAGCAACTTGCTTCAGCTCTACGTAACATGCTCCTTCACTTCTAATTTGCAAACTTTTGGCTGTGGTGCAAGAAATGTAAGTGGAATAGTCTGTAATAAGTTGTTTAGATCTTAGATAGGTGATTAATGCAAGTCCTCCGGTTTGAAAATCAAAGGCTTTTTCTGTGATGGTTGGATATTCACATGTCTCGGTATTGTTACACATGTACATGATTTTAGGAGCTTCCATATTGTCGTGATTAAATTTATAGTCCACAGATACCCTATGTTTCGTTGAGAGGCCATGAGAAATGATTCTTCTCACGTACACATGGTTATAAATTTTAACTACGAAATTCTGGCTTACTTCGCTTCCATAGTCGTTAGTAAAGGGTTCTAAATTGTTTGAAAGCACTAAATCAACTGTTCCATACGCTGGCGCTCGAACCTCAATGGTAATTTCGTAGAGAGTTTCTCTCGGTGCATAGAGTTGTTCCGCATGATGCATGGCAAAAACAATGGTGACTGCATCTTGTTCCTCAGTGTTGTTGAAATATTGATTTTTTGGTGTAATCTTTGGAGGAAAGGTGTACTCTTCGGTGCTAAAGTTTGAATAATAACAACGGGCACAAGCATAAAGGCCTTTCTTAATGGTAAGACCATAATCTCCTCCAAAGTTGTAATCACTCGAAGATGTGACAGTTGTTGAAGTTGTATCTCCCTGTTGTTGAATGACGTTCATCGAGTCAATATTCAAGTGAGCAATTTCAGAAGAGTCATCATCGTGATGTTGTTTCCGACGATATTGAAGGGTAAGCTCATTCATATTCTCCAACAAGTAATGAATGCTCTTTCGTATGAATTGTGTCGAATAAAAGTAAATGGATTTCAATTGTTTCCATGTCGATACATTCGGAGATGATGAAGCCACAAAAGGATGTTCTCGTGGTGGACTTTGTGTTGATGCTCCTTGTTCATGAATCATTTGGGAAAATGAAAGATCAGAATTCAGTACAATCATCAAAAGGAACATCATCATCAATAATATTATACACTTCCGTTCAACCTTGAAACCAAGTAAGACATTTTGCGATCTCTTTACTTGAATGATATTTCCAAAGTATTGTTGTGGTTGCGTCATCATCCTCATTCTTCTCATCATCGTGAAAGAAAAATTGTTCTTAACGTTGTCGCAAGTATGTACTGGGTGGAATGCCTCTGCATCAAAATCTGTAAATTTTTTTTAAAATTTTGGCGGTTGTCCGTTAGGAACTCGAGAGAATTTAAAAAAGTCTTTTCAAGAACTTTCAAGTTCGGAATCAATCATCTTTGATGAAGAAAGGCCAAGTGGATGGCCACATGAAATGGATTATAAAACCACGAGGAATAATTACTAATTGGAATGTGCTCTAGATGGACGTCACAATGTGAAGAGAGAGGAATTATTTTTTCGAATTCGTTCTGTTTTAATGAAAAACCAGGCATTGGTCATCAGGATGATGGATTTATTTCGTTACGGCAATAGGATGAGTAAAATGGTTGTTGCTGACAGTTTCTTCCGATGAATGAATGTTCAATGAACATTCAAAAAATGTGGTCCACTATTCTACTATTCGCTGATCCGAAACACAAGCCTATTGTTCGGCCACAACAACAACAACAAGGACGACAATTACTCTTCTTCCTTCTATCCATCCTCTTCTTCCTCCAAATGACCCATCTCTTCTTTTTAACAACCACAAACGCACTCGGAACTCCCCAATGCGAATGTACCAATTATCCCGATCTTCAAATCGTGGATGATGATGAATTATCAAATCAATTGGCACACGTGAGAGATCAATTTATGAAAACAGTGGCACTCAAAGATAAATTCACACGATTGGATGCGACCATTCTATTGCCCATTGGAAATGACACTATGAAATGGAGACGAGGAAGTGTCAATCCAAGACAATTGAGTTATCCAGCAAGTTGTGTGAAATTGGCGTATTTAGTGAGCTCGATGCATTGGTGTATGGCAGTTGCGAAAAGGAATCGAGTGGATTGTATTGAGGAACATACTCATCCCATGATTACGTATAGTGATAATTTAGAGACTGGATTTGTGGTGGATATTATAACGGAACAAGCAAATATTTATGATTTGAATTCGGCAAATGATGTGAGATTTAAATCTTGGATGGAAAAACGAAATTTCACCATGAGATATTTATCCTCTGAAAATTTAATTGGAAATCAAGTGTTTGTGTGTAAGTAGGATGTTGGTGATGTCAAATGACAATTCGTGACTCTTGAATTTTCTTGAAAATATTGAATTTTTGAAAATTGACAACAACACATTTTGAAAATATTCACACACCACCAATTGGTATTTCATCATGCGACATAATTCCACAGCCAAAACCTATCCAACCAACAGTGGAGAATGGCCCATTGGTGCTGAAGATGTTCAAAGAAAAGTGACAGGTGGTAATGCGATGGCTTCATGTTGTGCAGCCTCTCTTGTATTGCATACCATTTATAGACTTCCAAAAGAGCAATCTGACTATGCAAAGAGATTGTTGTACCATAGAAGATTTGATGATTGGAGTGCCATTGCTCCTGGTCTTCCTCCTGGAAGTAAGTACGGTGTTAAATATTGTGATTTTAAAATTGTATGGTTGATCATGAAATAATTTATACATTTATTGATACGGAAATATATCATTTTAAAATATTCAATGAATATATATTATATCATATGAAAAAATTTGTTTCATTCTTCCTCATTTCATTGATTCGAATGATTTAACATTTGGAAATTCATGAACACAAATCATAGCTCTCTTACACAACAAGATTGGAAATGCTTACAATGACATCAATGACCTCGCTCACATCACTCTCCCCAATGGTCAAGTATTGATTTTAGCCGTCCTTTCGAATGGCTATCAACGACCCAGTGACACGACCATTCTCTCACGTTTCATGGAAATGCTTCTCCAACGCTTGTCACTTGTTCAAAATTTACCACCCATTGTCACACTCACTACTGACAATACCAATTTAATTCAATTCAATACACAAGATGGATGGATGTATGTCAATAATTCTCGTCTCGAAGAAGGTGTGGATCGAATTGGAAATTCATTTGTATTTCTTCCCCCATATCCAAAAAAGGCAACTACCTTTTCATGGAGTGTTATTCTTCCAGAAGATGGACTCTATGAAGTCACAGTTTATTCATCCACTCTTTCCACTAGTTCAAGTTCACAATACTCAGTGCCATGTGTGGTGAATTATTATCCAGTGGCCTCTTCCTCCGATTATTCATATCCCATTCGTTTTTCAAGTTGGACTAAAATTGGAGACTTTTTATTGTATCAAGGATTGAATAAGAATGTGGTGCAAGTGCAAGTGCCTCAGAATTATCCATATCCAGTGGTGATTAATGCGATCAAATTTAGTAAATATCCCAATCAATAAAGAAGAAGAAGGTCTATATGCGATAATGTCATATTGAATCATTGAAAGTCTGGTGAGTATTAAATAAGTGAATGGATTTGATCAACACATGGATGCGTTGAAAAATGTGTTTGTCAAGGATTTAAAAGCATTTGTTTAACATCTCTTCAGTAGAATGAAATCCTTTGCTCTTAACTCAATCTCAGAGCGAGTATGAGCAACATCATCTGCACGATCAACGATGTTAGAATTGCGCATGTTTAACTCATTTGGATGAACAATGTTCCAAAAAGCAACATTTTGGTCTGATAATATTCGCCATACGAATCAATAGATTTGTTAAGCTCTTGAGCAAGATTATTGTCAACAAAGTACTCTTTCATGGACATGATAAACAACCGTTGGAAGAATCCTTCATTGAAAGTGTTATTGTTATAGAGAATGAAATTCACAGCACTGAATTTTCCAATGATGCTACAATCGGTATCAAACCTTAGACTTCTCGAATGACTGAACACATGCGACAAATATCTCTCCTCAAACTCTCTATAATCTTTGAAATGTTTTCTTGCAAGAGAGGATTCTTCTTCCATTTCTATCTCGCTTTCCAGGTCCCCTTTTGTGGGAGGACAGTCTTGAAGAATTGCTTCAAAAGGAGTTGTTCAAAATTCAAGAAGTGGCAACGTTGAGGGAATCTTTGAATATGTTGGAACAAGTGAAGCGATGAGAAGTTCTTCAAAAATTGCAAGCTTTTTGAAAGATTGCATCATATCGTCTGAAAAAAAGGGTTATCATGGAGGACGACAAGTTTCATCAGGCAAGGCCACAAGTAGAAGCAATCATTCTCAATACCGTGGTAGTACAAATACAAACTCAAATCTCTCCAGTAGTTACTCGAGGAGGAGATGAGCGATGGGGAGAAATTCAAACTGCTCCAGCACAAAATACGTAACCTGAGCGATTGAATCCATATGAACATGAGCTCCAACTTCAATCCTTCATCATTCAAATTTGCAAAGAATTCGTCAAAAAGTATGACATAATCAGAATCGAGTGCTGCTCTGAAGAATTCAATTTTGTTTTGTAGTTGAGTAAACTCCATCTCTTCATCTTCTTCGGATTCGCAGCTATTTTGGCTGAAGCAACCCGTGTCTTGCTGAGAAGTCATTTTTTGCAACAGAGGGCCGGTAGTGAAACCCTTCTCGAACACATAAAGTTTAATTTGATCGTTTCTTTATTTGAGCACAACAACCACTGGCTCCCTTCAAATCTTGAATAATGCCATCTATGAAAAGGTCGCAAGGTTATTTTGACGATTGGGAACAAGAGCCAAGAGAAAATTGTGAGTTAATTGACATCCTTTCAGTTGATTCGTCTTAATCATCATCGTCTTCATGATCTTCAGGTTGTTGGTAAGCGCCGGTCTCAGCTCCAATGGAGCTGCAAATTGGGTAGGATAAAGGATTGCTGGTGAGCCATGTCGTTCCCGGAGGAAAAAACCCTGACTGTGGAGAAGATTGGGCGTGAAAGGGCGTGACATAATTTTGCTGAGGGTAAGCGAAAGGGTGGAACTCTTGCATTGTTTGCATTTGACGAAGATGTTGAGTCGACATCGGTGTTGGAACGGATGGTTGGAACGCATGTACAGCATGTTGCGCACTAGGTTGCAGTTGTAGACATTGAACATGCTGTGGAGGATAAGTGTTGGAATTTCCAGTCGAAGTTGCATTATTATCCATGCTAGGGCTAGTTTGTAATGGGTTCTGGTAGGGTTCTCGTTCCATTCTAGCGCTTTGCTCACTACAGGGCTCCTCTTGGAGAGGGATTTGTTGTTTATCCCATTTGAAACACAAAAGCGAAAACTCCTTAAATCCTTCTTCCATTGATTCCAAATACCCCAAAAGCTTCTTCCGCTCTGCTTCGAACGCAGGAAGGCAGTTTTGCGTAAGGGAGTGGAAAATTTTGCCGTGCACATTGACATTTCTTTTACCAATGATTGGCTTTAGAAGCTCCGGGTTGCCTATAAACTCGCCGAATTTTCTACAGCAATCATTTTCGTCATTGATTTCTGGGTTGTAGTATATGCGCATCATTGGCCGTATGATCTGCAAAAAGGCGGCATGCGTACATGTCAAATTTTGTTTAGCCATCTCTTCCAATTCAAACAATCTCCGTTTTTTTTGATCTAGTTCGAGTTCTAGATCTTTGATTTCTTTCGAAAGTGTATCATGCTCACTCTTTGCCATAAGAAATCCAATATCGTCGGAAGAGTTTGGTTCTCTCTGTGATGATTCAGGATCATTTTCGTCCGATTCCGACTCAGTTTTTGCTTCACACACGGTTTCCTTTGCCGCACTGTTGGGAGGTTGACCATTTGCTTGTTGTGTTTCGGCGAGAGAGCCAGTAAGATCGTTCGTTTGGCTTGGGCTATCGGTGCTAGGTGGCTTGTTTTCTTTGGGTGATGGCGAGTTAGCCATTGGGGTTTGCTGCTTACTCTCTTGTTCCGTATCACTGGGAGAGCTCGTGCTTGATTCTTCTGGTACAAGCTCGATTATGGCGCGTCTATCCCATTGGGTTGGCTTTCTTAGCCCGGATCCTTTCTGGATATATTTGCCATTTTTATGAATAGCAAAAACGATGTTCTCCAAAGCAAAAAAGCCATCGGACACGGTTTTGTCTTCACTGATCCTTGTGGTCCTTTTTCCATAGTACATACAGCATGCCAAGGTTTTAATGTAGCAACCTTCACCGTCCTTAATCGAATCGAAGGGAATAGGGTTCATGGAGACTCCTTCGTGATTGAATTGCTTAATTTCTTTTATCTTTTTTTGCGGAATTCTTTTCAATCCTATAGGGGTGAACTTTGTAGACCCATCCTCTTTGAGTGCGGAATGTTCAACACATTCAGTAAGAACAATAATGACCTCTGAATTTTTGATTTCTTTGTTTCTATATAACGCAATGTACTGTGTTTCCGAGCTTAATTGTTGATCTCCATCGGTAAGGCAAAAAGAAACGAGAGTTCCAGAAGCGAATTCACCACGTTATCGGGGCTCATGTTAAAGATAATCAATTAATGGTTCAATTGTTACACGTCGGATCTGGGAGTGATTACAACTACAATCTTCTCCGGTTGACCACCCTGATAGAAATGATCTTCTTAGCCTGTTGTTTGAAAAGAATGTTTTCGCGTTCAAAAAGTGTACTGTTTTGTCTCAGTGGTCCTTCGTAAAAATGGATCAAATAATTCCCGTTCCTGTTGAAATGGTCCGAAGTGTTTGGCATTATTAAATGGCCTGACATTCAAATCATTGGCAACTTTGACACTTTGTGTACGATTTGCCAAACCATCGTCCATCTCTATTCCATCGTCGCGCGCGTGATAGACTCTCGAGAACATATCTCCTCGAACACTCGAACAGTTCAACAACAACTCCAATCCGTCCGCAATTTCCTTGTGTTTGTTCGTGCCAAGTCCTTCCGCTGTACACAACTTCTTGTGAAATTCTGAAAGAAGTTGTGAACTCGAAAGTGGACCAACCATTGATCAAAACAAAAACAAACACAACAACCACAACTTGATGATGAAGAATCTTGTGTCCACCTTCCTCCTCCTCCTCCTCATCGTCAGCATGATGCTGTTGATGACCATGCAAGTGTCCACCTTAATACATGCATTGAAACTATCATCCTCTCTACAACCATGGGTCGGCATTGGCGATCGTTTACTTCATACCTTCTTCAGTAAGACTCCAATGCCTTTGAATCAATCATCGGCTATTGCGAGTGGAGAATGGGAAGTGTTGAATGATGGGAAATGTATACCGGGATTGGGAATTGGATATTTGAAAGAACGAGTGGTTGCTTGGTATTCGGTAAGTCGTCTTTTTGATTTATGGGTTGAATCCTTTATTTGTTCAATATTATTAAATACTATTCATGATGTGATGCCATGATGATTTTGATTGCAAACTTGAATACTATGATCGGTTGAACCAAAACGATTTCCAAAACGATTCCAAACTCAAACACTCAGCTCAAAGGTCAATTAAGTGGTTTCGGAGTCCAACTTCATGCTGAATTAAAACAAAATCAAGTCGTTCCTGGTTTTTGGAGACAACTCTCCTCCAACCGTTACGAATTAGACATTGCCACTCGAGATCCATCCATTGCTTGCAGTGGTTCCTTCGATTCGAAAGGTGGCGTCTTGGGTGATCGAGTCCTCGTTGCTCCCTATGGAATGAATACAGAAATTCCATTAACCGATCGTTTGGCATTGTCTAAAAATTGGACATCTGGCGGATGTATTTCTGGAATGGGACGTCATTGGGGATACGATTACTTGTCTCGTCCTCATTTGAGTGGTCATGCTGCAACCTTAATGCCAGTCATTCCCATGTATCATGATGGATTTATTTCTGCAGTTCTGATTTTCACACAACATCCGCAAGAGATTTATCCATTGGGTCAATGGGAAGGTCCTTTCATTCCGTGGTTGTTTTGTAAGAATTTCTGTTCGGAGGATTGTATGAAACATGAGAGTAGTTTGTCATTGTTTACAACATTGCATTTCTTGTTTCATGATGCTGCGTTGAATACGTGTGAGGATCGATGTCCATCATCGTCTTTGAAGAAAAGATAAGGTATTGTTTGGTTCCTTCATGAGGTTTGACGAACGGTACTTCCAATAAATTTCAAGTTTGGACAAGTGTCAAGTGTCATCTTTAATGTGTAAAAACAGGAGGACTTTAGATGTAATGATTATTAAATTCATACATTACTACTCATTGTTGTGGTCTCTAATGACTGAACACTCCTTCACAACTTGCTGTTCTTCAAGTTCCTTTTCTTCATTCTCCACACATGAAGTTGTTTCTTCACCATTCTCCATTTTTGGTTCCAAATTGTTGTCCATTGTCATCTTCTCATCAAACGTTTGAGACAATTTTTCTTCTTCTTCATTAAATTCTTCCTTTTTCTCTGTTTCATCCTTTTCCAACACGTCCTCAAACAATTTCAAACATTCTTTTCGAACTTGTTCATTGACTTGTGAATTTCTTAACGCATCGACAGGTGTTTCTCCGAATTCATTTCGATCCTTACTCAACAACATTTTCAAATCCAAATCATTCAACAAGTATTTAATAATTTCATAATGACCGTAATGACAAGCATAATGCAATACATTGAAACGTCCCTTTCCCAATACTGTGCTTGAATATCCACAATCTTCCAATAAATATTTTAACAAATCCAATCTTCCTTAAATGACGACGTGAAGAAGGATGGGTTTTCTTGGAGTCGCATTTATTGGCTCACAAAAACATGAGACAGTATGTTCGAGATTTAAGATCAGATAATTATCTTAGAGAGAATTTTGAAAAAACTAAAAAAGAGAATCAAGATTAGAATAGCACAAAAATAGGGAACTATTAAGTTGAATGACTCCCAAGTCTTTCAACTGTTGATTTGTGATTGTGGAATGGATCTCATTACCGAGTTCTGAATGATTCACATACTCTGAATCTTCATTAGAGTGTTTCATTAATATTCTAAATTCTACACATACATTAGATTTAACCACATTGATTTCTCTCTTTTCAGCAAGTGCATTAATTACGGGAGATATTTTGTCACAAAATTTTCCCATTTTCTGTTGACGTCGAAGTTGGTCATTATGGATTTTTTGATTGTTAAATTTTGATATTTGTGGAGTTTCCATTTCTTGTTCAAGGTATTGTTATTAGAATGATGATCTCTTCCGAATTTTTGTTGGAGAGTTCTATTTGCAAAAGCTCGTCTCCACACTAATTCAAAATGTTTGGGGATTAATTTCCATTTTTCAGTAATGTCATTAGCATTGTCTATATCTTCCCATTGTCCTTCACCATTGTTTTTGGAGTAGGTATTTGTTGTAAATTTTCCTTTCTCATATTAGAAATATCAAACACGACAAATGATCCTAAATACAATGTGTTGAAGCAAAATCTCAAAATGCTTGATGGTGCTGTACGAAATCGCTGGGGCCACACCTGTTACGCTTGCATAAGCCTACCGTGTTATTCACAATGCACACATGTTGCTATTAAGATGATAATTTATATATTAAATGAGCGAATCACCAATGAAACTCTCCTATTTGATGAGCACTCTCAATGCCTACACAACAAACAATATGGATTACCAAGTTCACACAATGTCTCTTTCAATTCGTGCTATTAATCCACTCCACCAAATCATTCACAATTCGTTCCATATTCTCTTCATCGTTAAAAATATGTCGATAATTAATGGTGGAGGCATATTCTTCATCCATTCTCTTAAAACGTTGTTTTGTCTTTTCATAGTCACGAGAATACCCTGCTGGATGTACTTGGGATTGATTCGAAATAGCGTCCTTGCATTTCGATTCATCTCGTTCGACTTCAATGCAGTAGAAGGAAGCTAATTGATGAGGAGGTAGTCCATTGTTTTGAGGCTTTGAACCCAAATTGGAAGTGTCACCACGAGTCGAATTTTTGGTCATTTGGGGTTGAGCAGAATCCTTAATCAAGTTAATGACATCAAACAATTTTTCTCCCTTCTCATTTTGTTCATTCTCATCATCAGACGACATGGGTGGTGAAGGTAAATTCATCGTAGTGACCATCTCAACCATCTCCATGACATGTGACGTTTTAAGGTCATTCCCATTGATTTGGCCTTTTTCATCCTTACTAAATATTCCCTTACATAATTTTTCAAAGCACTTCACCGATTCAATTCCGTTCAAACACATTCCATCCACAAATACATACAACACTGGATCTTCATTGGACAGCACGTAATTCTTTCTCGAATGTTGATAAAAGAAATATCTCACACTTCGTTTAATCCATTCATCGACAATTCGTTCTTCTTGCTCTGAAAAGGTTGGACCTCCAATGAATTTAGGAAAGAGACTTTCACGGAGATCGTCTCTTGAGAGTTTGATGACATTTCGAAGTGGTGGCTGTGAAGAGTCTTCATTGTTTTTTTCAGAATCATCCTTTGAGAATGGAGTCTTCTGGTTTTCATGATGTTGTCGATTCTCTTCATCTTGATCCTCTTCATCGGAAGAAGGAAGAGGATTAGAAACAAACTTTTTCATTAATTCATCACAAATGTGAGTTTTTCCAGAGCCTTAGTGGAAGGTGTTTCCATATTCAATGAACAATTCGACATTCATGTGCAACCATAGGTGAAAACATTTCACAAGAACAGAAAGTTTATGGAAATGAACGGACTGTCAAAAGTAACTCACCTGAAATTCCTCTGAAAATGATCAGTTTGTTGGTGTTCATGAGGGATTGTGTTTGTACTTGTTGCATTTTAATTTGCTGTTGTGTGAGGTTGTGTGAGGAGAGTGAAATTGTGTTCAATTAGTGCCGAGGAGACATCAAGATGAGGTTTGACTTGAATTGCCAAAGTCAGATATTTTCTAAAGAAGGTTTAAGAGAGAAGAGCACGATGTGAAGATGACAGTTTGAGCTGATTCAGAGGAGGAATGTAAGGTTTGTTTTTGAAAGATCCTTCTTGTCATTCCACCGATGCCGTATGATTTTTGTGAAAAGCAGTAATTATTATGTATGGAATATAATGAATCGTATGTCTTTATGAAAATATTAATAATCGAATGATGAGAATAGGATGATGATTAGAAGAGAAAGGGAAAATAGTTGAAAAGGTTATTATGGATGTCTGTGGTTGGTGTAACAGCAGTATGCATGTGAATGTGGATAGAGGTGTCGTGATGGTATCAAGATGACGACCGAATATATACGAGTAATTATAACATTGTTATCATCCTCTCGTAAATGATGAAAGATTCCGATGAAATTCAATCCAACTCTAGTATCCACGTGTGTTCTCTGTAGTTATTATTTCCACCATCAAATTAATGGTGCATGGCTGAGAGTCCACCCATCATCATTCCTTGCTGTGCTTGTTGTTGCATTTGTGCTTGTTCTTCAATTTGATTCAAAGGAGGGATGGCAAGAGGAATGGGCAGAAAGGCTAGCAAGCTATATAACTTGGTATGGAACGAGAGAGGAACATGTCCATAGGGTTGATAATTCAATCCGATTAAAAAGAAGAGAGGAAAAGACCCCAATGGAACTGTACCAAATTGGAACCCACTCGTTTCAGCACGTGTGCAACCTTTTCCTTGAGCGTTAATTTACGCCAATCGACTTTCTCTGGTGCTTGTTGAGCGAAACGGAAGCCTCCGAAATTCATATTTTTTTTGAGAGCGTTTTTTTTAATATTTTGATTGAATGAAAAAGAGTTGGGGGTTGATCGTACATGTGTG